CTCATTGTCGTCCCACAACCTCTTGGTATCGATTTCCAATTTCGCACGTTCCTTAGCGGTCTCATCGAGAAGCTTCCTAGCATCTGATAATTCATGCTCATACATAGACTTAATATTAGAGACCTCGCGAGTGACAACCTCCTCCTTGGTCTGGACTTCTCTGGTGAGCCGAGAATTTTCGGTCTCTAAATGTCGGACTTTTTCGATGTAACAAGCGAGACGATCATTCAAATTTTGGAGATCGTGCTTCTCCTGGAGGCGAGAGTACCTGGTTGGAGAGAGAGGACTTCCTGGACGCCGACCGATCGGCGTTGACGTGCTCGGCTGCGGTGATTGAACGTTCGACATGTTTATACTCGACGACGCCGCGGCCGATGATGCCGTTGACTTTTTACTCGACTTAGTCGACATTTTCACTTTGTATTTTACGTTACCTTTAATATAAAAACACTGATGTTAATTACAGACACACTTTAATAATTAATCACACTATTAACTGATAAATATTTAAATTTATTAATTAAATTATAAATTAGTAAGAATAATTATAATTTTTAGGGTAATAATAATGGAAACTCTGAACGTACTTTACTTAGCAGAAATAAATGAAATAAAACGTGGATGACAAATCTGCATGAACTCGGCGTGACTGTAACCACCGCGTCTCTGTGTCTCTGTGAGTCCTGGGGGATTTTCACACTATTTCAATTTAAACAGGAGGGTACAACGTGTATGTATGAAATACCTATTTATATATATATATTTATAGATATATATTGGTAGTGTGTATGTATATGGATACGTACCGCTGAGAACGAGTGACGAATTATGAATACTACTGCAGTCAACTCAACGCGTAATTTATTATTAACTGTTTAGTTCAAATTAAACCGTACAAGCAGACTTACTAATAAATACGACGCGGAAGCAGAAGTCCAGCCCGGTACATGACGCCATTATACTTTAATTTCATTGGTTCATTTTTTTCATCAGTTGGTGGCGCCACTAGTTAGCGCGCACGCGCGAAAAATTTAAATTTATAATAAAGTTAGCCGACATCTAAAAAATTTTATGATTTTTTATATTAAAGAATTTTTACAAAAAAATTTTTTTTTAATTTTTCCACTTGTTAAAAACTTCAAAAACTATAAGGGCAATTTTTTAAAAATACTTTTTACTTATAATTTAATAAATTAAGCAAGATAAAAAAATCAAAAATGTCGGCTATCTTTATTATTATAGTTAAGCGACGTTTTTAATTTTTTCATTTATTAAATTAGAACTAAAAAATATTTTTTAAAAATTGCACTTTATTTTCAAAGTTTTTTACGAATGAAATTTTTTTTGTTACAATTTTTTCAATAAAAAAAATTTTAATTTTTAAATGGCTAACTTAATTTTTATAATACCATGGAAATAATTATATTGAAATTAACTGACTTTTAATATTTTTATAACTAATCATGACAATAAAGTTAGCAGTCATTAGAGAATTTATTTAACAAATTTGTTCCAAAAAATAAGAACAAAAATTGCATTTTTCATTTTTTTAAATTTCTACGTCAATTTTTTTTCTACTTTTTTTTTGCCATAATTTATTTGTTTAAAAAAATTCTAAAAATTATTCAATATTTGCTAAATTTATTTTTATAACTAATCAATTTTAATAATGACACTGAATTTGACAGGCAGAATTTTATTGCAATTAAATTATTATGAAGAAAATTTCGCATGGGAAATTTAAAATGGAAATTAATTCAGAAGATATTTGATCATTTTTTATGAAAATTAATTTAGCAGATGTTTAATAATTTTTAGAACTTTTGTTAACAAATAAATTATAGCAAAAAAAAAATTGACATGTAGAAATTAACAAAATTAAAAATGCAATTATTTAAAAATCATTTTTTCGAATTAATTTAATTGTTAAATAAAATTAAAATTTTTTTGCTCAATTTTTTAATAATAAATACGTCA